ATGCCAAGTCACACATGCCAATGCAAACACGCCCACACACACACACGCCCAATGTCCTTAAGCACACACACACACATGCCCGCGTGCTTGTGCCTAAGTAGATATTTCATCGGATTTTCACAGCAGCTGAGATAAAAAATGAAGAACAGGAAGCGGGGGAAAAACATGCAGGGCAGCAAAAAATGTAAAACGTTTTGGCACTGCGTGGGGGGGGGAGAAGGGTGGGGGTGTATAAGATCCCCTCGTTAATGGCCGGGGTCATGTTTTGACCTGGTTGACATAAAAGCAGCAGGAGTAACAACAATATAGCCAGCCACATGTGTAAAAGCGTAAAACATTTAAATTAAAGCTAGCCAAGGTGAGATGGAAGTTGTTGCAAAAATGCGAGGGTAAAGAAATCTCTTTAAAGTCCAGGGCGTTTGGATATTATCCACCCAAAAAACTTGATATGAAGAGATGATATTATGTTATATTAATAATTAATTCAAGTCAAAATTGCTGCGGTATCTCAATTCGAGATGCTTGAAATGTAAAAATGTTCCCCAGTTTGAATATCGACTGTTTTTCTCGCTCTATTCCGAATTTAGAGAATATATTCTGCTCGCTTCCACTCATGTAATTTAAGTCGCAATATTGCTTCTTCTGAGAGTCTCCGATAGAGACAAATCAGTCAAATGATATTATTTAATGCACATTTTACCAGTATTGCATTGTAAAAACAATATGCTTATACATACCAGAAATTTACCATGCGCATATAAATTTTATTTGTTTTTTTGTGAAGCTGTTTTGGTTTTTGGATTTGGCGTAAAACTTGATTTATAAAGGCCATAACTTTTATTTTTCCGACTTTTAGAAGCCTATCTCACGATACCTGTACTTTTTTCATAAACGTTGTTCGGCATTTTTAATCCTCAGGCCCATACCTAAATTAAAAATGAAAATTTACTGCCGCAAACAGGTTGTGTTCAATTGATAAACCAGGTAGATCTCACAAATTAAATTCGCATTTACTTATGTCAGGGAGCCAAGATTAATGTTGCTTCTGAACACAGTCTTCCGTTGTACGTTATTAATGGCGGCATTTGGAGATATTAATAAAGGGCTATCGAATAGATACCACCCATATGCGCTTATTTAGCGGCAAGCGTATGCTAAATGTCTGTTTTTGGGCTTAGCTGGGGCCTGAGATGTGATTAACTTGAAGGGCCCTCCCACGCCCATCCCCATCACGCAGATTCGCATCACATCCCAGCTCGGGTTACTCCTTCCAAGACACCACCACCACCAGTAGAACCGCCCGCGAAACAAGTGTACGTACGTGTTCCATCCGAAAGCCTAGACATCGCAAAGCCACGACTAGGCAGTTGAGAAATTAAATTCTAGTTACGCCCTTGGAATTTAAAAATAGCAAACAATCTGCGGGTTGGATGGGTTTCGGTATTGGGCATGGGCTGAAGGACGCTCGGATGCGGTTCTTGAACGTGTTCAAATTGCCGAAACGCGTCGAAATTATGTTAATGTTGTGTGTACGTGTCCCGAAGGCGGCCAACAAATTGAATATGTATTTAAGCTTTGGGGCGGTGGCTGTGGGAGTCGAGAGTCGGTTATCGGGAACACGTCATTGTTTTATCTATAATTTGGCATCTATATCTTCATTGTAGCAGGCAGCTGTGAGGTGGAAAAAAGTGAATTTCAACAATTTGGCATCCCATTGTTTGCCTTTGTCATTCTTGCATTTTTTATGTCTCCGCCGATGTTTGATGTATGTATATAAGTACACTGTGTATATGTGTGGGAAAGGCTCGCTGCTTAACAATTCCTGTTCATCTTCTCCGTCACTTTTAATGAGTTTTTGTGCAAGAATTTTCGTCCCCTCCGCATTCCGTCGGGAACTTGTTGGCAACAATGTCAGCGAAATTGTCGCCGCTTCTGATAATCGGGCGAACGCCCTTCGAAGTGGGCGTGGGCGTGGCCATGACGCATTGTCACGATGATTATAATTTCCATTAAGGCAATTTTGTAGGGCTGCCATTGGAGTGAGCTGAGCAAGTCATATTGAACTAATTTGCATTACAAGGCGAGAAGCAGCGAGCGGGAAGAGTCAAGTTCATGGGCGAAGGGGAATTATGGCAAAAAGAGAGCCAAGGATTCGACCATAAATTTGTTATTTCACTTAAAGTTTGAGTAACATAATTCACAAAACAATCAACATGACTGAGAGCTGTGTGTACTTAAATTATCTGACTTACTTACAAAAACTTCGTCGAATACATTCGATTTTGACATAGAGCTATACTTAAATCAATGAACAAAAATCAATCTTTTTACTAACATTTTTAAGCAGCTGCGAATAATATTATTCCTGTAGGTACACAGATCGGGATCAAATCGATATCGATATACTGACAAATGTATATTACATAATATCATTTAGCCGAATTCTCTCTACCGGAGAGAAGGACTCATTAAAAACTCGAACTGGCCTCTAGAACATGATGTTTACATCTCGAGCATATCAAATAGAGATGCCGAATATCAAGTTAAAATTGATCATCGTTTCATATCAATTTTTTGTTGGGTGTACTTTAAGATATTTATAGATTCTATTGGACTTAGGGCCACTTCCATTGTTGACGAATCAAACAAAAACTTTTCGGCACATCAGAAAAGGCGTTTATACATAATTCGAGACAAAAGGCAAGACAGCATCCCGAACCCAAGACATCACGTCACACATACGCCATGTGGCCGCAGAACTCCAGCTGGCTGGCAAACGAGCGTGTATGTAAATGATTTAGCTGTCCAAAAAGTTTTGAGGCTTCGAGCAAACAACAACCGAAAAATTTGGCAAACGAACAAGCGAAAACTATGAAATATGCGAAGCATGTGCAGACAATTTGGTCATAACCCTTGACAAGCCATCAAAAAGGATTATGGGGGCGTGGCCAAGGTGGGGATAAGTTTTAACAGGACTTATGCTTTCAATTGCCAGAGCAGGAATGCGAGAAACGAGACATTGATGGGGGCTCTCGCAAATTAAAACCAAGAAGTGATAAATAGAGAACAGAGTGCATATCAAAAGTGCGCAGTCATTTTAAATGGCTAATCATTCCCGGCTTCATGATAAACTTTTCCAGGATTCAAAGTTGCAAAGGGGCGCAAGGGGAAAGGGTGAAGTGGGCTGGATTGGATAGTTATAACATTGCTTTTTATTGCCGTTAGCTGCTGTGACCGTATTTTAATTAAAATTAATGCGCCATAAGCTTTAAATTAATGCCACTTCTTCGTCCCAGAGCCTCTTGCAAGGCAACCATAAAAGAAGCATTATTGCATGCGTGTGGGAGGTCCGTGTGGGCTGGGAGCCGTAACTGCTAGACGTGGATAGGGATAGGATGGGGAGATACCCATATAAGTAGTCGGGACTAACGTGGCTTTGTGGCCCTGTTCCCGCCTCGTCTCCCATCCGCTGGATGTGCTCATTCGCATGGCATAAATAAGGGCTTATGGCCGGATCCACGCATTTAGTTGTCTGGATTGTCGCTGCTCCGAGCCACAAAAGGACCTTCCCCGAAAACTACGGAAGTAGATTTGACATTAGAATTTGTCAAGGTGCTCAATTAGTTTATTTTATGGCCCTTTATAAGAGGGAAGATATGTAGATCGGATATGTGCGTAGTTTTCAATTCACATACTGCTTACCAAACATTTTTGGAACATTTCCAGCGGAATTTGTGCCTATTCGAGGCTCGGCAATTTAATTATGAATATTTACAATCGGATTGCCCATAAATCTAATCAACTCACAGGCATTCCAGTAATGGCACAGGGAGAGTGCTTTAGAAATGTGGCATTTAAGGACAAACAAGAGAGAACGCAATAGTCAAGTACTTCGACTATTAGATACCCGTTACTCAGCTAAAGGGAGTGCGAGTGAGATGGATATATACAGTCGTCAAAGTACTACTGGCTCCATCTTAACTTTTATCGGATTGTTCGATTTTCTTCATTTCGATAGGTATTAAACATAAACATATCAAAATGACATTTAAACTTTTACAAAATCTGTGAAGATATGCCAGACAGGCTTCTTTTAAAGTCTTTTAATTAAACTTGCGCTGCGTAGGAAGCCCAAGAATACGTGTGATTAATCCCAACCTTCTAGCTTTTGTAGTTTCCGGGATCGTAGCGTTCATACGGACGGACAGACGGACAAACGGATAGACGGACATGGCTAGATCGACTCGACTAATAATCGTGATCTGAATATATGTACTTTATAGGGTCGGAAACGGGTATAAAAGGCATGTGATTAAGGGTGATGGAAGGAGGACATAAAAGATGCTAGGCGGTTCAAATTCTCCTAATTGAAAGTGCAATTTGCAGTGCCCAAATGGCAAGTATTCCGAGTCTGAGTTTGAACACACGACCAAGCAATTCAAGTGACTGGCAGCAGCATGATGTGCACACATTTATGTCTGCGGTGGATGTGAAGATGATAGAGCCAGTCAGGTTACGTAATCAATTTAGTAAATTAATCCGGTTCCGTGCGGTAGATACCCGCCCCAGGAGGTATGTGCGATGCCGATGCGAGAACGTCGATTCGACAGCATAACTTCACCAGCTTCGCTACAGCTAATTGGAAAATAAGTGCCAGAGTTTATTAAACTGCCAGACATCTAAAAAAATGTATGAAAACAAACCGGAAAGAATGAAAACTTGCTGGGAAAACAATTTTCACTGAAGGGCGAAGCAAAATTAAATTTTTCAAACTGACACTGCATACTCGACGTGATGTGAGACGGCTTTGATGTGGGGTGACTTTATTTGCTCTAGCTGAATAAATGCAGATAAAAATCCTTGATATGTGTTACATTTAATGAAACCCCAATAATGGTTTACCACCCCTTTATTACAAAAATGATTCGAATGGAAAAGCTGTGTATAATTTTAGATCGGGTATCTGGGAAAATTCAATCAAACATCACATCATACTTATCGAAGGTGGCAACAGTAGATCGCCGGAAACATTTCTCTTCTGCCTGCGCAGAAGTTCGGCAAAGCCCCCAGAACGCATGGCAGAGCCGGAAAACAGGCGGGCCAAGGACGAGAGGCGTTGGCCAGGCCCCGATGACCATCCACCCAACACCCAGATTCGCAAGGATCAGCCACGGCCACCAACCCAAAAGACACATCGTGACCATGACAAGAACCAATGGCCGGATCGTCGTCCTCCGGCATCTCAAAAGCCTTCGAACAGGGGAATACCTCTGCCGCAAATAGTAGTGGCTGGCAAATACCGCCTAATAAGTCGCATTGGAAAGGGTTCCTTCGGGGAACTCTACCGCGCCGAAGGCCTCAAGTACGGCGAGAAGGTGGCCATAAAACTGGAGGACGCCGCTGTGAAGTACCCGCTGCTGTACCGCGAGGCCAGGATCTATGAGGTCCTGCGCGGTGGTGTGGGAATCCCCCACGTCCGGCACTTCGGCACCGAGGGGGTGTACAACGTGATGGTGATGGACCTGCTGGGTCCGACCCTGGAGGATCTCCTCAACCTGTGCGCGCGCTCCTTCACCCTGAAGACCACCCTGATGCTGGCCGACCAGATCCTGGTCCGCGTGGAGCTCCTGCACCGCAAGTGCTTCCTCCACCGGGACATCAAGCCGGACAACTTCCTGATGGGCCTGGGTCGCTACCGCACCCAGGTGTTCATGATCGACTTCGGGCTGGCCAAGAAATACTACAGCCTGCGGGCCAAGATGCACATCGGCTATGCGGAGGACAGGGACCTGGTGGGCACGGCCCGATACGCCAGTGTGCGGGCCCACTACGCGGAGCAGGGTCGTCGGGATGACCTGGAGTCCGTGGGCTACTTGCTGCTCTACTTCCAGCGGGGACGGCTGCCCTGGCAGGGCATCCGGGCACAGTCGCAGGCCCAGAAGTACGAGAAAATAGCCGAGTGCAAGGCCAATCTTTCGCTGCAAACCCTCTGCTCCGGCCTGCCCATCGAGTTCTACCTGTACCTGAAGTACTGCCGCAAGCTGCACTTTGCCGACAATCCGGACTATGTGTATCTGCGTCAGCTCTTCAAGGTGCTCTTTCGAAACCAGCTTTTCTTGTATGATTTCCTGTACGACTGGGATGTTCTGCACGAAAAGCAAGGCGGTCGAAGGGAGAAGGTCGGGGATAAGGAAAGGGATGATGGTATTGAAAGGAATCGTAACAAGGCCCTCGATTCGGGGCAGGAGCCGATTGAAAATGCGAATAGGGGTCTCGATCGAAACCGAGATCAAGGAAAGGACGATGAGCCCGAGAAGAAGGTCTGCTCCTGCAGTTACCACCTCCACAAGAAGCGCCTCCGCGATCGGGAACGAGATCGAAAGATGGTGCTGCAGACCGAGCGAAGGATTCACCCAGAGGAGCCGAAGGATCCCCACCGCAGGCAGCCCTGCCTTTGATATTACGCTGTTTGTAAAAGTCTCTGCGTGTTAATTAACTGCCGAGCAACTATATTTAGCATGACCTAACCACTTCCCCATCTTGGATCCTTTGTTTGGCAAATCATCGGCCTGGGTAATTGGCAAGAACTGCTGGGGCACACAGTTAACTAGCAACTTGGCAAACAATAGGGCAAAACTTTGTACGGTGAAATCGATACCCTAGCTACTTAAAGGAAATCAGAGATAATGGAATGTTCTGGGATGCTATTACCAGTAATATCCTTTAGGAAAGTTAACAGGTACTTATAAATTAGATTCTGTTTAGTAGGATTATTGGATTGTCCAATAAATGAGAATTTGCAAGTAGTGAATACCTGTGCCCAAATTTTAAAAATTATTTTTATTTTTACTTACTGACTTACTTCTCGCTTAATATGAAGAAGTTTATAATCAATTTAATTTAATATAAGGCTTGCTAAATATAAGATTATATATTTAATACTTTTCACTTGCATCCTCCAATACCCTTTCTTTAACAACTCTTCATGGTTGGGAAAGGTTGTCAGGGAAGATAGTGTATACATGTACACAAAACCAGCCGAGTATTTTTTTTTTTACATCTACGATATTAAAAGGGGTTAATTATTGGCCCAGGCAGGACACGTTACGAGACACAGGCGAAAGCTGAGACCGAAGAGCATATAAAAGATTCCCCCAGTGGCTTAGAAGGAAATAGGGTCAGCGCAGGCAAAGTAGTTTGCTCAGTCGCGCTGCAATAATGTGGACTACAGCTCATCCGCACGGGTCCACAAAAACACCAGCAGTCCACAAGCACACACAGATGGCGAATTAACTATTTGCTGGCCCAAAGCGATTTTGGCCCAAAGCCCCGAGTCCTGCGGCAATGATGATTTGGGACTGGGCGTGAGGGTGCATAAATCTATAAATAACTCGCTTCGCCCTGACTACACTGAGCGAAGTACGGTCACATTAATAAAAAGCAATCATATGCCTGATTCAAAAGTAATACAATTTATTGATATGTATGTACAATCAAAATATTCTTATATTTTTAGGAATGGATATTTTTTCATGCTTAGACTATTGGGTATTCAAAAAGTATGCAACAAAAATTGTTTTGAAATACCCCCACCACTTAATCATGGATCCGCCACTAATCTAAAGCAGTTACTTCGTGTTTATTTAGGTAGTGCATATAAATCTTTAATTTATACAAGTTAATTGTGAAAAAATATACAAATTTTCAACTAAAATTAAATATCACAATTAGACACACTTCAACTAAACGAATGTACAAGAAATAAATAGCACTTGCTTTCATTATATCGGCTAAATTAGTAAACCAGTTAAACCAGAACCCATTTAAAAGCTCCTCACATTTTCCGTCAAAAGACGAGTTTCGCGTGTATGTGGCGCAGACGATGCCACGCCCATTTAACATCCCAAGTTTTGCGATCCTAACTGGCTCGGGGGAGTAGGGACCTCGGCCCAAGACACTGGGGCAACTTTCCTAAGAACTTGAATGCATGCCTAATGTTGGAAACCTCACACCACGAAGAGAGCACACACACACTCATAGTCGAGGCAACCAAACCCACACTCATACGCGTTGCCATACACGTACACAACGCGCTGAAGCGTAAAAATATTTGCGGGCTTTTGGCTTCGGTTTTCTCTTTTCTGCTTTGGACCGCCGCATTTCAAATTAAGTTAATTTTTTCGTTGAACAAAATGGCTACAAATCTGTGTTTTATTTATAAGTGCCACTGACCGAGTGAGCAGACACATTATCGAAGGCAGCGAACTCGGACCGGGTCCACTGATGGGTCCTCGATGAACTTCGGTGACATTCAAATTGGGCAGTTAACGAAAATTGTGCAATTTGTGGGTCAATGCCAAGTGGCGATAGGAATCCGAATATCAAGTGGATGAGCATGGATAAGTGAGTGGGTCCTATGGGAGCATCATACTTATGAGTTCCCTAATGGGAAGTAACATAAGACTATGGCAACGGTTCGTATGAGCAATATGGGCACTTTTCGAGGGAGCATAAACTTGGTATTGTATGTTTTAGCCTTTTATCGGTTAGGTAAGTCAAAGCTTTTAAAGATAATCTCATTAATGATAATAAAGGTTTAAAGTTTTACTGTTATATTGATGCACATATAAAACCCTTCTTCATTCAGCTTGAACTACAGCAATTTCGATTTCTGAATTCTTAGTTTTGGTCCGAAATTGTGCCTTAAAGAATGCTTTGAGCAATTAGGTTTCACAATTTATTTATAACAGCCTGGCTCATTAAATTAGCCACAAACGATGGACATTTATAATAATTATAATTTAATCAACGCTGCATAAAACGACCAGCACATTTCTGTTTGGAAATTTTTGTGCCTTGTGGCCAAAAATAAATGAGTCGACAAAGTAATTAAAAATATTGCATGTGTGGCAAGCATAAATTATTCAGAAGTGTAATTAAAATGTTTGGCTCTACCAAAGTCTTTCCACCAGAAATCGAGCAAACAGCGCAACTGGTTGTTTCTTACTGTTCCGATTTTAATTGTCGAGCATTAATTAAACGTTATAGTCACCACTTTATTTCCACAATAAAGCACATATTAAGTTTTTACGGTAAAACAGTTTTAGTCAATGTTCGGTTAATTTGAATAAACGTAGGTACAGTAGCAGAAATGTAAAAAAAACCCACGCCTTGTAGTCGCTACTAAGTTCATATCCTTTAATTTCATTTATTACTTCCAGACAACTAAAAATATTTCCGTTTCGTTTTCTTCGATACTAACTATGAAATTTTAGAGTGTCAATTATATAAAAATCAAATACACCAGCTAATGTAGCTATAGCGGACCCGGTAATTTGTCTTCTGCAGCAGAAGGTTGTTTCTGTGGTAATAAATTATTCAATTGAAAATATGTTAAAAATGCACAGTGAATTATTTACGCCAGAGACCCAGTACACTGTACAGTGTACACGAATATTTACACGGCCGGGAGGGTGTACTATATATGAACGGTCGTACACTGATAGCCTCTGAGGGGTCTCGGGCCCCATAAATTTAGCCATAAATTTGCCTTCGCTCAGAAACAGGCAAAAATACAGAAATCACGGACTCACACGAGCACTCAGACTCACGCACTCTCAGTTGGCAAGTTTCATTGCATAACTTTGTGCGACTTTGTGGCAGTGCTTCAGCGAGGCACACTGGCCCCGCTTTTGTTTATTTGTTTCTGTACAATAAAAATAATAGTGATTTATAATATCAGTTTCAAAGTAAATTCGATACTTATCCTTCCCTGATTTTTTTCGAGGGCTGCCATTTTAAGCCTTTTTTAGGACAGATCTGTAAATGTTTTTACTTATCGAGCCGTTTTCTGGAAACTTATAACTTCTGTACCTACTTCAGAAAAAACTGTTCTGAAATTTGTTTCTGTTTTATTCCACATCTGCTTTTTTTTTTGGCAGCACTGATCTTTTCTAAAGCTATTAAGGCTCTACCCAGAAATAAATTCGTAGATAGGACAAACATGCACCTAAAATATTTGCTTTATTATATAAAAAAGGTTCTCACAAAAAAAAAGGTATTTATACGCATATTGTTTTTACCATTAAATTATGGAGGGAGAAAGGCACATTCGAATTTGGAACTGGCCTACTTAGAATATAGAATTGATATGCCGCATATTACGTCAAAATTGATTCCACAATCGACCATCGTTTTTTATTGTGTAACAACAACAAACTTCCTAAAGAGTTAAACAAAAATGGAATTCACGGTAAATCAAATCAACCTGGCCCAGTGTGCAGTGGTTGCTACTGTCGTAACGAAAGCGATGCTGCGTGGTCAGCAGCAGATGTCCAGGGAGCTGATGTTGCTGCTGCAAATCAGTCAACATGGCAAATGATTACCCATGCCACGAAGTCAGCCCTGTCGATAAGCAGACGACGGCGAAGGGGAGGGGCACATGTGGCGTATGATTAATGCGTCTGCTACGCGCTTAATGCTTTTAAATGCGCATAAATGATTGCAATTTCGCTCGTCCTGTTAATGCAGCTAAAATCGCATTACGTGCAATCGCCATCAACAGACGAACCGAGCAATTGAGTTGAGGCTGGCCAGTGGTCGACCCATTTATTTGACTAAGAGCACAAGACCAATATCATTGTGTGGTGCAAGTGCAAGTCAAGACTTGGCTTACGAAAGCCAACCAAAATCAGATACAAGATAAATCACAGAGCGAAATCCGTCTCATATCTAATGTGAAGGCTCCACAAAAGCGGGGAATATTGTCCTTGGAAGGCCAGCAATTTGCATATCATCAAAGTTGTTGATCACGGAATAAGTTTAAATTGGCCATTTCTGCAAGAATATAATTGGGTAAATTGGACTACTTATAACAATGCCTCGAAAGTATTTTGTAGAGATTAATAATTTATTCGAAAGGGCTCAGTTATTATCTCCCTTGCTTTCCTGGTTTTCTGACAACAAATTAAGTTCAATAATTTGTTTTGGGTGATTTAAAAATTCCTCGATATAAAGAAATTGCAATTTTAATACTTTTTTCTTGGCAAATATATTTGACTTCAACGCCCTTCTGTTGATTTTTGATTAAGAAGGAGCTTAACTCAATGCATACAGATTTACTTACCGAATTGGATCAGCCCACAGAATTTGTTTACCACAGTTCCCCCCATTGAACTCAATTTACTGAGTACACTGCATTTTGCTCTGTGTGGGCTTAACTTATTAGCTAATTAGTTAAATATTTGCGGTCTAATCACACAGTTAATATTCACTCCTAAATCATCACATAAGCCCGTTATCAAGTGGCCCAAATACACAAGCGAACTTCCATTTGATTCGCTCAAGCGTCTTTGATTGATGCGCTAATTGAACATTTAGTCGCAAAGGCAAGGCAAATATTGATTTTATTGACACATCTATCGGGCTCATCGGCCAGCAACAACTGCAACAACATGGGACAAAAGTTTGTGTAAAGTTTCCATGTTGTTGTTAAGCTTGTTTTGCTTTGTTTCATTTATTTATTTTACTC